TTGTTATGTCTTTTGCATTCGTCGCGCGTCAATTCTGCCATCGGAACGTTAACGGACAGAGCGGACTTTACTTTGTGCGCCAATTCTTTGAGTTCCTCCACGAACCACGCGACGCAATCCTTATCGCGACGACACCGATACATCGATAGCGCGTCGTCGTACGAGCAGTGCACGTAGTATCCGATACTGTGTACCTTGTGGTGTTGAGATTCAGGCAGATTCGGGTCCATCTTTTCGAGAACGCACTCCAGGTCGGCGTACACGACGAACGGCACACGTTCCTTGTTGCCGTGTTTGCCGAACGTTAGCCATTTCGCGTCTTCTTTCGGCAGCTCTACCGCACACTCGTTCAGCTCGTTGCAGTCCACGGTGTGGGCATCCAGTCGTTCCTGCGAGCTAAAGTAATGTAGGCATCTGTAAACACAAAATACCTTACTTAATTTTTGTCTTTTTTACAACATTCTATTTTAGTATTTTCTCGATACGTACCGGTCGCAGAAGAATTTCTTGTGTTGCTTCTTGCTGAGTTGAGAGCTCACGAGGCGGGACAGATTTTTTATCCGCGCGAAGTGGCTGAAGATGCTGCTGTCTCGTGGATCCTGCATGTGCAACAAGTTGACATGCCTCTCCATCTTTCGACCATTTAATCATATCGGAAGAACAGATAGTTCGCCCATCTCCTTTTCGATACAGTACACGTTTATCGATACGTCATTCGCACGTTCGAATTTCGTTATGTCCTTCAGAGTCATCGGAAACTCGATACCCGCGAATTCGAGCACCGTTGCGTAATACGGATACGACGACTCCCGATCCGCGTGTCTTTCCACGGGGTGCAGAGCGGCGGCCACCGACCACGCGAAGCACGTGTTGTCCGTCGAGCGCACGTTGACTACCGCTCGTTTCGTCGCTATCTTCCACGGCATTTCGACGTAGCATCTCGCGTGCGGATTGTGCTTGTTCACGTTTACCGTTAAATTGAGGATTCGCGACAGCGCCCACCCGCTGTCGCGCTCCTCGAACTCGCCAAACTTCGTCAACGTGGCTTCGACGACACGCTTTTCGTATCACTCGCGCACATCCGACGTTCGATAGAGTTCCGCGTTTCGCGAGGGTCTGCCTATATTGGCGCGTTTGTCACCCGACGTAAACTCGCCGTTGAACGCGGTGGTCACCTTCACGCTACCGTGTCTCTCTATGGCGTCTCGCACTCGCTCGAGCACTGTATCGCCCGCGTCCTCCAAAAATCGCTGAGGCTCGGTATAATCCGTGTTAATTACCGCACCGGTCAAAACGCGACTGTGGAACGCGGTATCGATCTCTCGCCACACGAGTCCCGTACTGTGTCCGGCGCCCACGTGCACGAATCGTCTCTCCACTCGCACCTTTTCACCAGCGAGTCGCGCGATCCTCGCCACCGCGGACTGTCTACTTCCGGCGGCGAGCCGAGGACGCTTGGTGCGACAGAGTTCTTCGAGCCGCTAGATGCACTCGTCGCATCGTAGCAATCACGCGAAACACTCCGTCAGAGTGGCGATCTGGCGACTCTGCTCCAGCAGTTCATTTTCCATTCGCTCGAGACGTTCCATGATTTTGTTTATATCACGTCGCACTCTTCCACGAAACACTTGCACGTGATTTGGCGACACTGTCGACACGTTCGGTCCATATTTAGAACGCGGTAGTCCTCCAACTCTTCGCTTCCCTGATACATGCACTCTTTTCGAAGAACGGTGCACACGTTGCAAAAAGTATCGTCCAGCTCACCACGTTCGTCAAATTCACGCTCCCACTGCAGCCTGTGCTCGTCGATCTGCCGTTTTACAGCGGCGGGATACTTCCGCCACTCGCCATACATGTAGATGTATGGATCTATCACCAGCAACTCGACGTACCTCTCGCTACCCACGGAAATCGTAATGTACAGATTACGGTTATACTCGAGCTTTTCGACGATTCGCTTCGCCCAGTAGTACCTGTTATTTATACGACTGAAATCTACGTGCTGATCGTCCCGGATTTTTTCGTTCCAAAGATTGTACACCTCGAAACACCTTTCGTAGTCCTCGTACGCTTTCTCGCGAAACCACGCGTACATTTTTCGTTTCGCGTGATGGGGCCACTCATGCACGAGCTTTCGGTCGACTGTGACTCCCTGTCTCACGAGACAGCGTCCACCAGTTCCGCGTATTCCTAGTTCCCGATCGCGTAAAAACTGCACCGGCGATACGTGTCGCACATCGGTCTCTTCATGCAAATCACGGAGAACGCACAGGACATCGAACTCCTTCCAGCTTATAACCCTTACCTCTTCATGTTCGCGCTAATGTTTTTTTGCGTTCTCTGATTCGTGCACATTGGACACATGCTGCAAGGAATTATCACATACATCCTCACACGGAGCAGTATCGGCCACTTAGTACTTGTTCGTAATCGATTTTGTGCTTCAACACTAGATTCATTCCGTAAAGCTCAGTGTCCCTCAGCTGAATCATACAGGAGGCGCATAGGGCCAGAGCACCTCCGGTCGAATAGTAGCACAGGATCTTGCAATGCTTGGTACGCCCGGTTAACGCACGGAGTTCCGCCTGCGTATCTCTCTCTGTGCAACGTTAGATCTTCGCTCTGATCACTAACTACACCCGTATCGGATGACAACGTGCCTTCCGATTCATCCTCCACATCAACTTCCACGTCTTCGCGCACTCTATTCGCACGATGAGCCATTTGACACACTCTTTGACCGATTCATTAGACTTCCGAGGCACCTTCTGTGACACCGCGGGCTTTTAATGACCTCTTATACCTCTCGCCGCTTCTTTGTCTAAATCATTTGTCGTCGCATTTTCGTTGAGCCTATAAACAGCAGCCGCATATCGGCGCTTCTTTCAACAACCTCCTCTACCCCTTATTATTATCTAACGGTGTCACGTAGTAAAAGGACCGTCGATGTATACGCATATACACTCATATACATTGGTCTCGATAAGTGGTCGCCGTCGTCGTCGTCGTTGTCGACAACGTCATCGCAACTACCGTCACCATCCCCGTTGCCGTCCGATGACGAAGACACGATCGCGCTGTGCAACCTCGTGCAGAGGTGCATTTTACGAGTAAGTATAACTAATCTAGAGACCATCTGTCTAGAAATATCTTTTTTTATTGTTTTTATTCATCTGTTATTAGGATCCCCCAGTGTTTTGCTGCGCGAACATCAGCGGTGCCGCGAGCAGCGACCCTGAACGCCATCGAACGTTGCATCGCGAGACTACGCTGTATTCGAAGAGGCATCTACGTGCCTCCCTTTAAACGCAACATTCGAGGAGGCGTCATACCTTCCCGCAATTTCGAATGCCCCCGCACCTTGAGGCGAAGGGGCAGGAGGAACGGAAGGCACCACAGGCAATTCCCTACGAAATCGAGGGGACGCCATTCATCCCGGCATTCGCATCCCCCCGAAAAGCGTTATTCGCGACGATCCCCTTTGCGTTCGAGGGAACATCTCAGGAAGCGAATATAACGTTCCCAAACGGGAGACTTTACTTTATACATTTTATTTTATACATATTTTGTAAAACTATATATCTTCCTGGTGATTCTCATATATATTTTTGTAATCACTACATTTTTTGTGTTTATAATATATTGGTCTATGTATTCATAAATATACTTGTACATTTTTTTCTAAAACCTACATAGTATGAGCGAGACAACGCGCAATGGGCGAAAGCGCGTGCGAGCGTGCGTGGGAGCGAGTGCGCGAGGGAGACCGCGTGCGTATAAGTATGGCGGCAACGCGGCAGCGTGCGCGTAAGCGAGCAAGCATGGCAGCAGCGCGGTAGCGTGCGTGGGAGCGAGAACGCGTGGGAGGGAGAGCGTGAGGGAGACCGCGTGCGCGAGGGAGACCGTGTGCGCGAAAACGCGACCCACGAACGCGGCCTGCGACGACGCGGGGGCGCGGCGGGGCCCCGCGAAATCATTGTTTATGTAAACATACATGGCCCATGTTTATACTCAATGAGCCTGCCGCTATCATTGTTTATATAAACATACATGGCCTATGTT